TAGAGAAATTGAAGAGATAACGGAAGTGATTTACGGTCCGAGCGCGAGGGAGTCGCTGCGGGACATTGTGCCGCGCGCAATGGAGGACCTAATTATTAGTCACTGTGAAAACGTGACCGGCGAGCTGAAGCACGCCCATTTAACCCCGTAGAAGTTCCCCAAGTGTACTAGACTTTTACGGTGCTCCGCGGGCGATTATAATTGACACACGTACCCCTATTGTGCAGAGAGTGATGTGAAGATCCAGCACGCCGGTGGATACCGCCGAGTAGTACAGGGTCAGCACCGTCAAACATACGATGAGTACATGGTTCACGACGTCGATCGCTGTCACACACTTGCTGTACAAGCTCGCGCCGTTACCGGTGTTCTCGCTTTCCGTTGAGACCGTCGTCGACGAGACCACCGTCGGATCGTCGATTTTTATCGTCCTCAAGTTGTGCGACTCTTGCACCATTGTACCGGCTCGTCTGGAATTTTGGGAAATTTCGTTTTGGATTAACACCTTGCGCATCGGTGATTACTGATTGGTTTGGATTAATGAGGAGTGGATGGAGAATTGATCGTGCTTCGGATAGTTACTGTTCCGAATTACTGAATTATTTGGATAATGTAATTTAATTGGTTTCTGGGAATCTTTTGGTGAAAATTTGATATGTAGTTTATATGTTTTTAGTAGATTTTAATGTATGATTAGAATTTGTTGGAAAGTTAGTAGATTTTTGGTGGACAGTGTTAGGTAAATTTGAAAATTATTCATGGGAAAGTCAGTACATTTCTGATGGATAGTATGTTAGGTAAATTTGAAAATGATTCATTAGAAAGTTAGTAGATTCCTCGTGGACAGTATGTTAGGTAAATTTGAAAATAATTCATTGGAAAGTTAGATTTCTAGTGGACAATGTTAGGTAAATTTGAAAATGATTCATTGGAAAGTTAGATTTCTAGTGGACAATGTTAGGTAAATTTGAAAATGGTTCATTGGAAAGTTAGTAAATCTCTAATGGACAATATGTTAAGTAAATTTGAAAATGATTCATTGGAAAGTTAGTAGATCTCTAATGGACAATATGTTAGATAAATTTGAAAATGTTGGTTCAGTGTGATTTTTCAAAGTAGGCGTGTACTGTTATCGATGAGTTAATGAACATGCTATGTCCGATATGTTTCATTCTCAATACTATCCAGCTTCGTTAAAATTATTTCGAGATCGAACTTCCACGCAACGTACGGAAGCAGTGTTTGTAATTCGAAACGTATTTTCTCTACGAGCATTTAGTTTGATAGAAGATAGGACGATCGCGCAGGAGATACATATTTCTTCAGGTGATTTTTGATTGGATTAGGGCATTGATTGCACTCTGATCTACATATAGATGAGACAAGTTTCCGCCCGGAGCCGAGAGACTAATCTTTACAGCGAAGATAAGGCTTATAAATTAAGTATCCCGAAAAATTCAGAATCGCACAGCCCGGTCGCGGAAAAACTTGTATCGTCGCGGAGGACGTATCAAACTAACGAGAACACGGAAATACGTTCGTTACTGATATCGTTCCTAATATTATATCGAGATTAAACATCGATGTTCCTCGGATTATGTTGCAAGAATTCAGGTCTCTCGAGATTAAACATCGATAAATCAATGTGTCGCTGTCAGTGATAAACGCGTGTGAATCACATCATTGGTACAGTGTAGTCTAATTCAATTAATGCGATCAAGAGATCCCATTTCCGAGGAGTTCAACGGATACCGGTGACAAGCTATTGTTCATCTCGTTCCAGTTTTGCCTCTGGCTTCATAATCGGGAGAATTGATACATTACCAGCGGGGACACGTCATTGCCAAACGTTTCGTGACGCGGGCTTGAAAAGAATCGTGTCAGCCGCGAAACTGCGGACGCGACAGAGTAGAAAAGGAACGTTTGCTAATGGCCGAAGAGCAGCACGTCGCGATAGTAATTACTAGGCACGATAAGGGGAATTACAAACGTTACGGTTGCCGGCTGTGTTCGAGTGATTACATCTGGGAGCACGGTGGTTCTGACCCCTTTAAAATCGGGCCGCCGATCGAAAGAAACGGAAATGAGTTCGTTGATCCCGCGGCTCGAAGGAAACGAAAATCTAAAAAGGCGACCGGTAAAACAATTTCAATTCACGGATTTCGAGTTAAATATAATTCATCAGCAGATGCAACTGGATCGACGAGATTTTTCTGCACTGTTCAGTACTCTGTGTCGGGATTAATTAAAATAATGCGTTGTCGAGGTAAGAAGCTGTAAGGATCTCTAAACCAACGATCGATACTGTGTGATCTTTATTTTGTATCGGAAAGAACTCGTTTCTTTTATAAATTGAAAACGATCGTATTACGAATAAATTTACGACTCGAAGAATTATATTATTTAACACATTGTACGGCTAAATTTCAGCTAGTAAAAATGGGAATGTCGGTGATTATACTGATACATTTTTAAACGTCGATTAAACGAAAATTTCTAACTTAAGAAAAAGAATAAGGAATTCTTTGATTTTCCTTTGGATTTGTGTCATATATATCTAAAATGTTACATGAACGTAGGATTAGCAATTAACCGATAGGCGCACAATGTGTTAAGCAATCAATATATAATTTAGCTTCATCCGTTGAAGATTTCCTAGATTTCAAAGAATCTTCCGCAAAGGGTTAATTGCACAAGCTCATCATGTGCCAGAATAAATTGCACGGATCTCGAGATATCGTTTTCGAATAATATCGATAGAATGTATCAGTTGTTTAACGAAACATAATATTCCTTAATCAAAACGCATAGAACAACATCGAAGGTTACCATCGAAACCGATAAATTTCGCATCGAACGGATAAATAAAAGGATCCTCTTATTGTTATCGCATCGTATATCGCGAGTTTGGATTTCCGTGTTCGGTAACTCCACGGGAAAAAAGGCCGGCTCGCGGAAATTCGCGGAACAATCTAATGTTCGGCCGAAAAATGGCCAGCGGAGCGTGTATTTGAAGCGAAATTTTTCGAATTAAAGGAGATCCTCGAAATTTCGTTATTGCGCTCTCCCGCGGCGTACTCCGTCGATCCGTTCGACGGGAAACATGAAACTGTCCCGCGGAAAAACGTCCGTGCACGAACATGATATTTTCCTTCTCGGTCGCCATAATCTGTTCGAGCAAATTGAAGCCAGTAAATAAAATAAACAAGTTTCCTTCCGGCCGAAAGACGGGGCAGGACCACCAGGGGCTACACGGTCGCATCTACGTTACGCTTATCTCGATTTATTTTGTCCACAATATAGTTCGTTAGCGCGCTTCCTTCGCCCCCGACTTTTCCGCTCTCGAGGCACACAGAGAAAGATAAAGAGAAAGAAAGAGAGAGAGAGAGAGAGAGAGCCGCCGGGTAAAGTCCCGGTTATAGCCCGAGACGCTCGTCCGACGAGGACCGTAAAAATCGTGTAACGCACGGTTATTAGTCGCGAGTTTTCCGGAACGTTGTTCACCGGTTTTTCCCTGGGATCGAACGAGAAATTCCTTCCCCGAAAAACCGACGATTAAAGCCACCGCGGAAAAAGGTTCGCTCGTTCTCGCCCGTCCGTCGACAACAACGCGAAATATTTGGAAAGAAACCCGGCGAACGAAGACGCCCGGAAAAAGGGAGCGAAACGAAAAATGTTGGGAAACTCCGGCGGAACGTTGAACGACTCGTTAACTCACCAAACAACTGCAGACCGTCCGTCCTGCGCGTAAATGACGAGGCGCTGTTTTTCAATCGCAAACGGTGGAAAAGCTGGTGGATTCGCGATGTTCCCCGGCGTGCGTGTCCGTTCCCGCGGATCGAGCATCGACGCCGATCCAAGCGCGATCGCTGTCATACTAATTGAGGAAATCTCAATCGGCCGGAACACTCGGCGACTCGTGTGCCGCAATATTGAGCAAATTCCTTTTTCCCTGTTTTGCCCCCCGGCCAGCGCCGAACCAGATAATTGGGACGCGCCGCGCGCGCTCGCTCGCCCCGCTGGTCGGTGCTTACGTGACCACCGACGCGGCGCTCATTAATTAAAAAAGACAGAAAACGAGGCACTCCGGGTACGTGACACCGATAATCAGATGTCACCTTTTTTTCTGCGTGGCCGATCACGCGTCAACCAGTACTCGTCGCGGCAGTCGGCCCGGCCGGATGCGCGCCGACCAGCGCGAGGCACCGACGCTTATTGGTGGTGATTGGATCCGAGTATCGCACTTTCCAATATTTTTCTTTGGATATTCTTCGTGACTGGATCTGAATATTTCAGGATTTCGGATGTTGCTCTTCTATTATTGCTAGTGTTTGAATTTTAATGTTTCAGATTTTCGAATGTTTTTGCTTGAATATCGCTGGTGTTTGAATTTGATCATTTCTAAGTTGCAAATAGCGCGAGGCACGGACGCTTATTGGTGGTGATTGGATCTGAATATTTCAGGTCTTCCAATGTGTTTCTTTCGAATATTGCTGATGTTGAAATTTGATTGTTTCCGATTTTCGAATGTTTTTTTTGAATTTGGACATTTCTGAGTTAAATGGTTTTATTCGATTGTTTCACTCTGTGGTTGGTGGATTGAAATATTTATGAATTTGTAAGTTTTGATAAATAAATTTAAAGTTTCCAAGTTCCAATAGATTCAATACATTTTCATGAATATAATTATTTCGGGAGTGTCGTGAGTCGTGGGAGTCTTGGAAGATTATAAAATATTGTAGGTTTTCTTGAAATTTCGAAGAACTTCCGAGACGATTAGAATTTCGGAGACATTCGAAACTTTTAAAACCTTCGAGATTCCCAAGTCCGAAGAGACTTTCAGAATGTTAAGGCGTTGGATGTTAAAGTCTTGAACTGTGACATCGATGACGAGCTACAGTATTGTCTATCTAATATTCTTTTATTCATTCCAACGTCGGACTTATGTAACAGCACTCCGCGACGAGTTTATCTCCTCGATCCTATTGCAACATTCAACGGTTCCAAGACATTCAAGTTCACAGTAAGTATCGCTCTCTTTAAACATCGAAAAACCTCGGAACGTCCACCGTATCCAACAATCCAATTCTCCATTCCGCGATTCTAAGTAAAGAATACTGTAATTATTCCAGCAACCTTCCTAGCTACTACCAATCATAGTAAAATTTTTTTTACCATTAACAATCTTTTTTACCAATGACTATTAAGCTTCAATAGTCACTGAAAGAATTTCTTTAGACCATTCACCGAACTTTCAAAGTTTCTTACAAAATCCAGCATTTTCTAGAATTTCCAGCGATTCTAAGGAATACTGTAATTGTTCCAGCAACTTTCCTAGCTACTACCAATCATAGTAACATTTTTTTTACCATTAACAATCTTTTTTACCAATGACTATTAAGCTTCAATAGTCACTGAAAGAATTTCTTTAGACCATTCACCGAACTTTCAAAGTTCCTTACAAAATCCAGCATTTTCTAGGATTTCCAGCAATTTTAAGGAATACTGTAATTATTCCAGCAACCTTCCTAGCTACTACCAATCATAGTAACATTTTTCTTACATTAACCACAATATTATTACAAATCACAGTAACCATTAATCGTAATACTACGATGATATTAACCCTTTGCGGACGTAGATTCTTTGAAATATGCAGAACCTTCAGCAGATGAACCAAAATTATACATCAATTACATAAACAATAAAAAAAGGAAACTACATGTTGATCTCTTACTTAATAATTACATTATTGCTTTGAGATTCAATCATTCCAAACAGGAAAATTTCATCTCCACATCCGTCTGTAAAGGATTAAACACCAACTTCCCATCTAAATAGTACGAATTATCCTCGCGAAGAATCATTAATCGCAGCCAATCAATAGCAACAACATGAAAATTGAACACGGTATTAATTACTAAGCGTGTTACCGTGCGGAACCATATCAATCCGAAAACTGAACAGCTGGTATTGTTTACGTGGTCCATAATACTGGCTCCGCGCGCTTGCATAAATATTTGGGAATTATTTAACAAGCAAACCTCGCGCTCGCGTGTCTACACAGATTGAACCGATCGGGAAAGCTGATGCGTTTAACAGTGGAACTATCAGATAGATCAAAATCACCGATTCAAAATTCTTATTTCACCATTAACACATTGAGCGCCACCCTGCGATAATGCGAGATTTTTAGTCCATTCTTTAATTGCTAATCCTAGTTCATGTAACATTTAGATATGTATAACAAATCCAAAGTAAAATTTACAAAATAGAATTCCTTATTCTCTTCCGTAAGTTAGGAATTCTGGTTTAATCGATGTTCAAAAATGTATGAATACAATCACCGACGCTCCAGTTTCTAGTAACTGAAATTTATCCAGCGTGCAATGTGTTAAGCCGATAAAAATGCTACAATGAGAAATTTCAAACTAAATTGCATCGACCCAAGTAGAGCGTAAGCTCTTTGAATCTCGAGAAACCTGCTCTCCCAATATTTATAACAAATTCTGAATGCATCCCGTATTGCTGGTCCCAGTGTTAACAAACCGGAATCTTGATCCCGGAGTAACTCGTAGAAGCTGATAGGGATTAACGGGAGAATGGCGCCGCGAGATTGCCCCGCGAACTCGAGCACCCTGAAAATAAATACTGTACCGACGGGGAAAAAGTTTGTCCGCGTGTCAGGTGCGCGAGGCCGCCCCGCATCAGCCCGTCGATATTTCCCATGCAAATTCGATGCAATTCCGTGAAATCAGATTATTGAATTTAGATTCGATTCGGCCCGGCGATAGAATTCTATGAAAAGTTCCGGGTGGACGCGGGGGGTGGGTCCGGACCTTTAAACGAGATTAATAAACGTTCTTTCGGCGCACCCTCCCCCGGAAATCGGGAATTAACCGATCGCTGTATTTAGCGAGCAATTTATTCCGATTTAATCAGCCCGGCAGTGTATTCAACTTCCCGAACACGGTCGCGTCCCGCTGACGCGCGTTCGACGCGTGCAATTTATTTAATAGTGATTAAGCTAATTACGGAACGCGATTACCCCGACCGGTTCGTTAGGAAAAAATATACCGAATCTTCGTGGAAATCTGACGGAACACGTATTCATCCGGCGAGCGCGGCGTCCGGCGTGACGCGTTTTTCCATTGTTAAGATACGTCCATTTGCGAAATCCGCCCCGCTAGCGAGCTTTCATATTTTCGGCATTCATTTTGGAATGTTTTTCAAAGGAGACCTGATTTTATGCTTTCTTCTGTAATGTAACGTCCGTACATCCGTTTACGGCCGAACGCCGCTGTAATCGCTTCGAGGTTCGATATCGAAATTCGAGAGCTGCAAATGAATAATTTAATTATTCAAATAGTGAGAGACCGATGTGTTCTCTTTTCTCTAGTATTTAACCCTTAGCAGTTCTACGTCGAGTCAGACATTATATTTTATTGCAAACTCTACCTGTTTTAACAATTTTTTCTATATTTATTTGTAGTATCAGAATTGTACCATTTAACACTTTGACTGCCACGTAAACATTCGTCAAAACTCCCATGTGCTCGAAACAGTTTTCTTCATTAACCAGAAATTAAGAAATCAAGATTCTTCTTAATAACTGCTCCACTATCTTTCTTATATCTCACATATCTAACAAAATTCGGTTCGTTCGATATGTCATGGAAGAAATTAATGTCTACGTTTCTGTGAAATATAATGTCACCCGAATTCGGGTGACGTGGCAGTCAAAGTGTTAAAGTTAACATTTCAATGACTCCTAAATATTCTTGAATAAATAAATAGATTATTAAGATATGACCTTTAAACGTCATATTAAGCTGTAATTAAATGAACCAACGTCGACGTGAACCTCAAAGTGAGAAACCGCACTTTGGACCGCAAAGGGTTAAGGCTTCCTGCGAACAACTGAGATTTTTCATGGAGAATCCCTTAGAATATTCCCAGTTTAGAATATTCCCAGAGGATTAATCAAAGTTTGTATTATCTGTTCGTTCGAAATATTCATAGAAATTTGTTTGTGATTTTAAGGTGCGCTTCGTTTATTTTCCGGAATGTTCTGGTTAATAAAATATTACATTTACTAATGACGGTATAGGGCGTGTTATTTCTACGTGCCCTCTATTCTCCGTTCTCTCTCGTTCAACCCCGTTACGTGCGTTTCGGAATCTTAGAGCGGGGGTTGGAGACGTTGATGACTCAAACAGAAATGTTTTGGAGTTGTTACCAGTTCTCCTTAAGGGGTGCAGGATAGATACAGGAGGCAAACAATCTATTTGTTTCAGCACTTCCCGAAGTCTCGGGACAAAACCGAATTGTTTAACAAGTTGACGGCCGAGGCAGCGTTGATAACAGTTCCGCGGAATAGGAGTAATTTGTTTAATGAAACGTGAATCCGCGATCCATCTTTGTTCCCCAGGATTCACTGTAATATTTCTGCCGAGTCGAAAAATGAAATCCTCGACGCGATCCCATTAAATTCCCTTTGTCAGAAATCCATCGGCTCGACCGTGACTGGATACACGTAATTTACAGTCTAATAATAACATTAAGGCCGGAAGATAGTCACTGTGTTCCCAGCGCGGGGGCCAAGTTTGTTCTAGCGGCAGCGACTCTCTCATGTTTCATGGAACACGAAAGGAGTTGTACACTTTGAACGGACAGGACCGGACCAAACGACCGCTACCGTTGTCTGTTGTGATCAACTGGACCGATTGGAATCAGCATTGGAGACAAAACGGTCAGACCAGCGCTGCACAGGGAGAGAATCCTCTTCCACTGGGACAACAGAAGATCACGTGTGGCTAAACGTGGTTAAATTGTGGAAATTGGAGCACCTTGCACAGAAATTCCGACTCCAGCGTGCTCGCTGTAACCCTAAATTATTCATCGACAAAACGTGGAATAAATGAACCCCGGAAACCTGCTATCAGAGAAAGTACCTAAAGAAATACTACCTCGGTACCAAAGTATTTTCCTCTCCCTTTCTACGTCATCTCATTTCTGATTAACAAGCAGGAATTTTAACTCTTTGCGGACGAACGTCGACGTTTCGGATGAAACGTTAATACTTG